AGTTCCTAAATAGGCTGTGTGTACATCAGTAGCAAAGCTTTTAATTTGGAACTTGATTGATCTCAGCCTGTTTTGAAAACTGTCAACTAAAATGAAAGAGTTAGAGCATTGCTGCAAATTTTTATAATCATTTGGTTTCATTGAAATGTTTACAGAGAGCCTAAGTGAATTTCACATACATTCGCCTCATAGACCGTCTGAAAACTGCATCTTTCACCCTTTAAGTTTTGCACATTACTGGCTCTTCTTCCATGATCAGAACTGAATTAATACAGAACAAAACAAAAAGTTAGGAATGGTAAGTCTTATCCCCTTGCATATGGTTAATTCTGTTCCTCCTTTAGCATGTTCTCACCAAACTGTCCATATCTTAGAGACTCAATGACTGTGTTAATTTTTTAGCTTTTGGTTTCTTTTGCCAAGATCAGTACTTTTGAGGATGTTCCTGTGTCTAAATGCAAATTAGTGATTTTAAGAGTTATTCACCTTAGTTTGCCCTTTGAACTGTTCAAGTGATCTTGTTCATATAACCAGACCCCAAAGCACTTCCACCTTTGAGTCTGTCAGCTCCCACCTGAGTCCATCATGAGACTCCTGCATGTGTAGACACTTCTCAAATACTGCTTCCACAGAAGAGGATGTCAGCTGCAGGGCACTGCCCTGCATTCACCTGAAGATCTGCAATTCGTTGTGGCATGTCTCTTCTGCTGAACATAGGGAGAGACTGGGGGAATGCATCTCTCCTGATCGGGTCCTGCTGCTTGTTTCATTCCAATTCTTTAGTGATCTTTCAGCAACTCCACTCACTTATATCAAAGGAGTTGCAATATGCAGTTCAAGAGAACTCACTGCTTTCACCTTGACCACATTTACAGTGATTACTGTCTGGGTGACTGCAGTGCTACAATGTTTTGAGGTAAAAAAATTAAGAACCACTATTTATTGCCTTACTCTCAAGGTTCTATATAACAGTGTATACTGTGTGTTTCTGGTACTGTTATACATTTGCGATACACAGATGAGAATGCTTTAGTACCTGGCAGAGGTGGGATGGTGTGTGAATAGTCTGGTGCTGTGGCTTTTCTGGTCTGGTAGGACCAGTGTGATTACACAGGAGTCACTGGCTTCACAACAGAAAGGCTGCTCTCTCCAGCAGGGCAGTGATTGCTTTTCAGATCATCTTAACACAATTCTCTGACCACAGCCAGGGTACCTCTGTGCAAAAAAGATAAACCCAGAATCCTTTTCCTCATTGACAGTCATTACCTGCTGTCTCTTTTATTGCACCCTGCCTCTCCCAGTCTTCCACTTTCACCACTATTCATCCTACTGTGTGTATTTAGAACAACCACTTACAGGTTCTCTTGGTTCTTAAGGGCCAAGGTGTTTATTATACTAAAGCTGATTTTGGCAATCACATTTTTGTAAGGAGGACTTTAAGTCACAAAAAAATTTACAACTGAAGCTGCAATGAGTAGTATGGATGAGACTGTACTATGTAACACCCGAGCTGTGCCATCGGAGAGAACTGGCACAAGGAAGCAGTTACTGCAGCTGGTGCATGTACAGTGTGTGCAGGTTAGAGAGGGTTGTTTGAATCAGAATAGATTCAGTCAGAACAGAATCAGTCTCACATTGGATTACGTGACCCATCACACGTGGGGTTCAAGGCCACCCCAAGAACCAGCCACTGGTTGAGATCCTTAAGCCTGGACTGCTTTTGTATGTAACCAAGGTGGAGGCTGTGGTTTTGTTTCCTCCAAGAAGAATCTGGTTTGCTTATCAATCCAGCTCATAAACTGAACCAGAAAACACGTGCTGATGATTCAAACTGCTCCAGACCAAATGGAGACATGGCCATAATGCCTTTCTGTGGGAGAAGAACAGTACAAATCTTCTTATTCCTGTAAGTCTGCCTTTCTCACAGCTGTCTTTTGTATCAATCTAAGATAATATCCTCTCTGACAATTCTCACGATTTATGTGCTGTTTGGATACAGATTCAGAGTAGACAGTTTTACCATACATGTTGTGCCACTGAATCTGCTCCTTCAAACTCAAGCAGCGTGGCAGAAGCGGAAATAGACACAAATTCCTTCAGTGGCTTTACAGATGTAAATGTTTTTTTACCATCCACAAAAGAATTCAGCTAGGCCAGGCTGACAAAATAGTGTTGAACCATTCCCAGTAGGCTCTTGGGGCTGGAGATTGAGGGCTATGCAGAGGAAATCAGGCCAGTATGCATTTCCTTGCCAATAGAAAGAGTAATAAATAAAACCTAAAAATCATAGAGAAAAATGTCCTGATATTTTATTTGTGTTTATTGGGTTATTTGGGTCTAGCTATTGCTACAAACTTTCTGCACTATCATAACCCCATTTCAACATAATCCTGTACCTTTAAATATATATGTGTTTGTTATGTGTTAAAGAAAGTTGAAATATAAAGGTTTTAAGGAGCAATACAAAACAGGATGTATGTCATGTGGAGTAATAATTACACCCTAAGTGCATGGAGAAAAACTCAGTGAAGCTAAATGCTCGTGCTCCTCAATATGTAATATTATCACAGCATGAGTAATTGGAGATATTCTATAGAACTGCTTTGGCTTTAGGTTATTTTAAAGTCTATCTTGAATCATTCTCCTATCGCCTTGTTTACCTTTTGAACAGTTTTCTGCTTTCAAGCTCTCCCTGATCTGTTCTGCACTAAGACTTCAGACTACATTGCAATGCTCTCTATTCTGTATACACTGATTTCTGCAAACAGGAGTTCATAGCTGTAAGTGACATTATCCACGCCAAAATGTGCGTATTTATGCAGTGTTTTCTTATTAAAAGATCAAGTGTCAGAAAATGGAAATCTTTTTTTCCTCTAAAAATAATCCCTTCCTTAAGCTTTTCAACAGTACAATTTTGCAGAGAAGCCTGGTTTCCTTGTCAGTGAGCAATTTCTTGCAGCAATGCTCTGGCATTTCAGGGGTTCTGAGTGGTCTGAATGTGAAATGATGAGGCACTCCCCTCCAGAGATCTCTCTGAATACTCAGAGATTTCTCCATAAGACTAGAAATCTTTATTCTTATCCTAGAAATTCTCTTTCTAAATTTCATCCTCTCATTCCTTTGTTTGGTATACACTATTACATTCTTGAAATAATTTGTTTTCGAATATTTCTTATATATATTTATGTCTCCCCTGCCCATACTTTATTATCAGTTATTGCAGATGTGGAATAAATTTTATAAAGTCTTTTCTTTCCTTTTTTCTCCCTTGCCCAAATTAGTTTACGTAGCACTCCCCTTGTTTTCATGCCTCTCTTCAGCACTATTTTGGCTTGTCAGTATGAAAACAGTAAAATGGCATTTAGAAATTTATGCATACCCTGATATGGTCTCTTTAAAGCAGTACAGAGAGGAACTGTGGACTTCTGTACCATTTTTCATACCTCTGTAATATCTACCCAACAGAGCTTGATTGTGAACATAGCCTTTGGCTGGAAATGTAATTGGTGCCCAAATTGACCTTTTGATGCTATATTGAAGTCCAGTTCTTGTTTAGTTTCTGCTCCTATTCTTCATCTGGAATTTTGTCAGTCTGTTATTTCCTGCCGCTGTTTCTAAATGCGTCCTTTTCCTTGTCCAACATGGTATTTGTAACTCTTCACATTTTAATACCAAGTGTGTGTTAATGTCATCATTTCTTCCTTTTAAGGATCATTAATAAAGCAATGAAACAGGACTGGACATAATACAGATATGTGCAATATTCCCCTTTTGTTCTGACTCAGTGCTTCACCATTAATCAGTTTTTGTTTGTAGCTCTTCAGTTTTCAGCCACATGACAACTTAAAGACAACCAAATATGAACTGATTTTCATTTTAAGCTGTCCTGTAGCTGGAAGTGATGATGTTGCTGATAGCATGACAGAGCAGCAGAGCAGTTGTTCTTCTACATCGTGCTGCGAGAGCATGCATTTCAGTGGGCAGGGCAAGTGAGAGTTAAAACTCTGTTCAACTTTCTGGGCAATTGCCCCTGGGAAAAATCTATAGCTAGTACCTATCAGCAGTATTTTCTGAACAGTGCTGATGGTGAAAATCCCTTCTAAAATATAAGCTTCTAATCCTTTGCTCACAAGCAGGGGTGAGAAGGAGCATTGAAATTTCATTTAGATACATACTTGTTGAAATAGCATAGGATGCACATACAGTTTAAAATAAATGTGAAAATTAATTTCACTGCTTCTTTTTGACATGATATTTTGTTGCAATGACACAACTGAATTGCTACATAAGGTAATCAGAATTCAGGAATGATATATCTTATATCATTTGATTTCGCTGTCATCTGTCCACATAGATAGATGTATCTGCCTTTTCTGTACTTGGATATGTGATGTTCCATGGAATAGCACTTTGAGGGTACTAACAAATCCAAAATTTTTTATGTGATGTGCTGCAGCTCAGTATTGCTGATGTAGATGGATTCTTTTGAGTTCTTTGTTATCACTTATAATACTCATCTGAATGTGATTTTCCTGTTACTTTTGTCTTCTGATAGCTAGATTCCTTTAAAATTTCTGCCTTTTAAAGTACTGTGTTGTCTTTCAATATCAAAGAGCTGTCAGCATATACAGAAAGATGTGCCTAATAAGAAAAGATCAGGCACGTTTATTTGCTTGATAAAGTCTTAGGGATCTGTGAAGAAAATGTAGAAATAAGCATATTGAATAGGGCACTAATATGCTTTGTATTTTAAAATTAAAATTATTTTCAATCCTCACATTTTGCGTCTTTCAGTTAAAAGGGATGGTATTGTTAGGTATTTATCATCTTCTAGCACAAGAAGACCAAAAAACTCATGTGTGTCAAATTTACCCTCTGCAGGTCTTTGCTGCCATCTTCTGTTTCTTAAAATGATTGCCATTATTTTTTGGATTCTGAAAAATAAGACTGGTATATTATGGAGTAAAATACTTTCATTCTTTTTATTTCCTTGTTTTCAGCTAAAGCAAAGTGAAGCTAATGCAGATACAAAAGAGAAACTTCCATTACGTCTACGCATCTTTGAAAAATTTCCAAACAGGCCACAAATGGTGAAAATCTCCAAGCTTCCTTCAGATTTCACAGTTCCAAAAATAAGGTATTGAAATATTTCCTTTGCTAGTATGCTGTAAACTTTTCTGGGGCCACATAGCACCCAAAATATTTAACTTTTTTCCTTGTGGGTTAGGCAGATAGTTCAGAAAATCAGAAATGAAACAGAATTAATGTAGGCATTCAAAAGTTGAGACATTTTGGATTTACCTTTTTTTTTACTTTTAGGGAGAAAAAGTCCTAGTACTCCTGACAACTTACTCATAAAAGTAGCTAGATTGACCAAAACTGACACAAGTACAATATAACTGAAAAGTGTTGTTTTTCCACTTCCATTTGGATTTTAGATTCTTGGCTCACATGGACAACTAGCAGTTGGGTTTTAGACAACCTACAACTACTAGTTTTTTAGAAATAGGATGAATTGGCAAAAATATTAGAGAGGATAATACAGGCCATCCAATACTAATTATTCTGTCATGACCTCATCCCTTCTTCGTATTTGCATAGTTATCACTTTTCTATAAAACTCACCTTAATAAAAGGATCAGACTCTCAGTTATCTATTAGATCATTCTTTACTGTGAGGGTAGCGAGGCACTAGAACAGTTTGCCCAGAAAAGTTGTGGATGCCCCATCCTTGGAAGTGTTGAAGGCCAGATTTAATGGCGCTCTGAGCAACCTGGTCTAGTGGAAGGCATCACTGCCTATGGCAGGAGGGTCAAACAAGATGATCTTTTAAGTCCCATACAACCCAAACCATTCTATGATTCTGGGTTTATCAGTTGCAGTACAATTATTTTTGCTTGAAGTAAAAAAAAAACCTTACACAAAGGGCTGCTTTAGCATACACGGGCTGCAAAGTTTGTTGATACAGCATGGGCTGGCTAAACAGGTCCTCTGACCATGCCCATTCTAACATCCTCAATAATCACATGCTGGGAGAGAGGATGATGGGAAAGATTGCTGCCATCATTCTGAGTTTCCTGAGATTACACGTCTTTTTTTTTTTTACACGTCTCTTGTGATTTAAGTCACAAGAAAGCTAAGGCAACTGGTTTGTCCTGTGTATATTTATTATCTTAGCTGAATGAAAGGGAGAGTCAGGAAAAACACTTTTGAAACCTCCAGGAAGCAATCATAGATGTTTTGCTTTTAGTATCAAAGTACTCTTTGTTTATATATGGAGGGCATTCTTCTACTAGTCTTAGTCTTTTTTGGGTATTTCTTTCTAGTTGCGTTTTTCCCAACATTCTCTATACTAATTCATAATCATGCTAACTACTGAAACAGACTTCAAAGTAGTACTAGCAAATCATATCTTTAAATCTGAATCTGTTGCACCATATAGAAATATCTCTCCAGAGTAAAATTAGTTTTGACACAGTCAGTTTACACTGAAAAGAGGCAACTCTACTGAACTTGAAATACAGAGAAATGAATGTACATTTGTTGTAAACAGAAATGCTTCTGCATTTTAAACATGGCATATGTGAGGCACAGAATTGCTGAAGCGCCCTAATACTGGCATTCAAAGCAGTTATACGAACAGATGTTGTTTGAAATCTTCAAAAAAGAATTTCACACAAGTTTCCTTTGGGTTATATCAGAATCTGATTTACAGTCAAGTAACAACTTGCTGTTTAATGAGCTCAAAAGAGCTGAAAGCTGCGAAAGGCATTTGAAATATTCAGCATTTATACTGGTAAATTAAAAAATAAATAATGAAAGCGATCAAATTATTTTCCTTGAATCTACATGCAAGTGACCTATCTCTCAATTAACTTGTGGATTTCTTTAATAAATGAATTGAAGTATTATCAGTTGTTCTGGCACTCAGTTCATTTATAAATCTATAGGCCGGTACAACTTCTTCTTGGAAGTTTATCCATCTTAGCACTAATGGATTGTGACACCATAAGGAAAACCAAATATTAACTCTTCCTGGGGTTTTAATGCATCACTATCTTCTATTTGTTCACAAGGGAGAGTTTTATGAAGCAGTTTATTGATCGCCAGCAACAAGATACCAGCTGTTTGCTGCGAAGACTTCCTTCAGCATCTTCTTCCTCATGTGATCATTCTAAAAGATCAGCAATTGAAGAAAACAAATATATTGATCAAAAGGTAAATCAAGAGTATAGGGCAGTGTAAGCCTTTCCTTGAGTACTGTGAGAAAAGACTTCAGATTATTCACAACTACATAAAAAGTGAATAAAAGCTAGGACGATTGAACAGAGGTTAAAGGGAGCCCCTGGTGGTCTAGTGGTTAAAGCGCAGCGCTGTCACCGCCGAGGCCTGGGTTCGATTCCCAGTCGGGGCCACTCCCCAGGCAGATGGAGCTCGTTAGCCCTGTAAGGCAATCCATCTACGTCCTGAGGACCTCGCTGCCACCGTCCAAGCTCGCTTGG